GAAAATGTTTTGAGAATGATGATGGCAACATATGTACAAATGTGCTTGAAACAATGGATGGATGGATGGATGGATGGATGGATGGATGGTGGCAAGAGCTGTAAGAGCCCCCATTAAAATGAATCTTTTTTAAAAAAAGAAGAAAATGCTTATCCATGAACAAGAAAAATGATCAAATAATATTACCAGAAAAAAAAGACCAAAAGCCACTGAGCTACTGAATGGGAAAAAAGATCATTTCATGCACAGAAATTAAATCTACTGATAAATACTGAGGGCTAGAAAATACAAAGCAGAACAAGAAGAGAGAGGAGAGTATAGAACAAGTGACAATGCAGAGACCGGACAGCTCATGACAGCTGAACAGTGAGTCGGGGACACTGCAGGGGGCCTGTGCATTTGCATTATGGTGGTGCTGGCAGAGAACGCTGAAAGTACCCCAGATGGGCAGAAACGCCAACAGACTTGTTCTGGAGGACGGACAGCCAGAATGCTCCTAATGGCGAGGCTTTGTTTCATGTACTTTGGACATGTTATTAAGAGAGCCCATGCCTGGAAAAGAAGATCGTGCTTGATAATGCAGCGGTGGACCTAAAAAGAAAGGCCATCCTCTCTGGACTGGCACAGTGGCTGTAACAATGGGTCCAAACATAACAAGAGTTGTGAGGATGGCTTAGGACCAGGCAGTGTTTGTTCTGTTGGGCAGAGTGATGGAGCTGTTATTAGGCAAAACCAACTTGACGGCACCTAACAACAGCAGGATTAGTTTCTCTCTGAACTCCCAAGATGCTTCTATTTGGCCACTTAGGGAAAAAACTGGCCCTTAAAGATGTCCACATCCAAATCCCCAGGTTCTGACTGCTGCACAAGACCCCTGTAAAGTGTCGAAAAGTAGGGATGTCACCTGGAGGACTAAGGTGCACCTGACTCAGACTGTGGTATTTTCAATGGCCTCATTTGCATATGCAAGTTGGACAGCGGATAAGGAAGACTGAAGAAGGGTCGATGCATTTCAATTCTGGTGCTGGCCAAGGATCTTGAATGCACTAGGAACTGCCCAGAGAAAATACATCTGTCTGGGGAGAAGTACAGCCACAATGCTCCGTAGAGGAAAGGATGGCAAGCCCTTGTCTTATATACTTTGGACATGTTATTAGGAGGACCAGTCTCTGGAGAAGGACATCATGCTTGGTAATGTAGAGGTGCAGTGAAAAAGAGGAAGATCCTGACAAGATGTATGGACCCAGTGGCTGCAACACTGGGCTCAAATGTAACAATAGTGAGGATGGGGCCATTCTGTTGTATTATCTATGTCGCTATCTCTGAGTTGGAAGCGACTCCACGGTCCCTAACAACAACACGAATATGCTACCTGGCAAGGAAGAATTAAAGCTGCAGGTGGAACTAAAGTTCCTAATCAACTGACCAAAAATAGGGAGCGCGGAGAACTACAAACTAATATCTGTGTTTGAAGCTCATCTGTTTGGGGCCATCAGTGACAGCAACAATAAGAAACAAATGGCTGTGCTAGTAAAGTCATCCAGAATTTCCATCTAGGTGCAAGAAAACGAAATCCTGGTGTCGGATTTTTGTAGTAGAGATTTGAAAGAAAGCAGGTACAAAGATAATAAAGTATCTGCAAAATGGCTTTCATCACAATAATGTTCTTAACAAGCCTTAATTAGGCAATAATTTTTCTTGAAGTGCAACACTGTCTATGAAAATAAAATGTCAACCGATTTGCTTCATAGAAACATATTAAGGATTCATTTTGTTTGCGTTATCAATTAAACACATCTTACTGATATCGGTGATTATAAAATTGCCATTGCTGAGTGAACTTTAACTTGAAAATTACCTTTTCTGCCGTTTGAAAATACTGTTTCACAAGGTCTTCCACCCTCAGTGTGGTTCCCTCTGAATAAGACCTTGTAATAAATTTCCCAAAGTTGATCTCCTCTCCTAGAGAAATCCATCAATTAAATAAACAAAGTCAGTATTTTGAATTATAATGGTACAAACTCATCGTTTGCTGCAGTGGAGAGATAGGGCACAACTTCATCAATGGCCAGGATGGCCAACACTGTGAATTCTGAGACAAAAATAAGCTATTTTTGCTAATAGCCATGGTCAATATTTCTTTTTCACATCTCCAAGTAGCATGTCTATTCTAGTTGCTCTCAGACCTCTGGGGTCACCAAGACCCCTCTAGGAGTTTACGAGGCCAAAGCTACTTGCCTAATAACATCAAGACAGAATTTGCCTTTTCCTCCGTGTTAGCACTGGTAGTGAAGACAGAGAAGCAGGAGTGAGTATGCTGTGGGCATCGTGGGCAGTGACGGTAGGGGCACAACGCTGTACTGTCATCACCAAGCCAAACTGACCTCACTGCCATCGAGTCAATGCTGACTCACAGCGGCCCTTGCGAGAGTAGAAAGCCCAGTCTTTCTGCAGAGCTGCTGCTGGTGGTTTTGGACAGCCAAGCAAGCACACCACAGCCCAGTGCATAACCACACCACCAGGGTTCCTTTTCGCCACCAGACTCATATCAAAACAAAACGAGCTGCACTGACGATTGTTCTTGATGACAGTACAAGTGCACTGATACAATCTCAAGCCCTGAATCTGCATCAAGCACTGAACACACATCTCTCCGATATTCTGTGAGCCAAGCGGGGAGTCCTTGTAAAGCACTCTGCTGCATTCTGAGGCAAGATGGCTGCTGCAAGGAAAAGTCATTTCAACTGTGAGCTGAACTAGCCATGTTCTTCAAGAAACACTTTTTTTTTTAATAAGAGCTGCCGGACACATGATTATTTTTACTTGAATGTGCCTGATGGCCCTGTGGTTAGGCCCTGAGCTGCTAACTGCAAAGTTTGCGGCTCAAACAGACCAGATGAGACGAGGCTGTCGGCTCTTGTTAAGATTTACAGCCTCGGAAACTCCATATAGCTGTGTTTCCTAAAGGGGGTGATACCGTCCCCTGGTGGGAGCTGGGAAGACTGAGGGGGCTGCTGCACAGCAGATACCTACACTTCATCCTGAATTATGAGGCCGAGTTCCAAAGTTTTTCACTGCCAGGAGAGCACTGACTACTGTGCATACTCGTGTATAAGCCGAGTTTCCCAGCACATTTTTAATGCCGTTTTTGTGGTAAAATTAGGTGCCTCGGCTGATATTCGGGTCAGCTTATACTCAAGTATATATGGTAACACACCGCCACCCAAACAAAAAAAAAAGTGGGTGGCAGGCCAAATTATCTTGGAGCTGTATGCTAGAGTTATTATGAGCTGAGAATCAACTTGATGGCAGTGGGTCTTATCCGTTCACTTGCGTCACCTAAGGAAAGCTACACACAGTTCTCACTGGTGATGATAAAATTCAAGCACTCAAGCAAACACTAGAATTTTGGAAACTGTCTCTCTGCTGAAAGCTTGATAGCTTTCTAATACCTAAAAACTCTTCTGATGAGGTTGATAGCAATACTGATCAGTGTGATCATTTATAGAATGAAGATCTGGACTAAGACCTGCAGCATTCAGTAAACCACTATTTTCCAAAACCCTCCATGGGTAAGATCTGTTCCAAGTTAACAGACCTAGACTATAATGTGAAAGGTTGAAAAGTAAAACTCAGTGCCATGGAGTGGATGCATGCCGACTCACAGTGACCCTACAGGACAGCGAAGAACTGCCTGTGAGTTTCCAAGACTGTACGGGAGCAGAAAGCCCCAATTTTTCTCCCAAGGAGCGGTTGGTGATTTCAAACTGCAGACCTTTCGGATTGCAGCCCAAACCGCTTTGCCACCAGGGCTCCTGATATTATGAAAGAGAATCCACAGTGATCTGAAAAGTCTACTACCATCACCCCCTTCTCTACCTGGGGTCCCTGGGTGGTACAACATGCACAGTGCTCAGCGGCCAACACAAAGGCTAGCAATCCCAACGGTTAGAGATCCACTTCTGACACTCTGCAGAGCAGTTCTACTCTGACACACATGGGTCACACCACAGTGAGAATCAACCCCAGCAACTGGGTTTCCTCCCTTCTCTTATCGTGGGCAGGAAGATTTTCTTCATACCAATGTTCAACCGGAACACAGCACATTGTCAGCTCTGCTGATGACATTGGGTTGGCTTCAAATACTTTGGCAGGTGCAGGACCTGACACTGACAACATAATTATAAACAAAGGTAGGATCCCCGCCCTTAAGAACACATGATTACAATATTAATTGATATGTAATAAACCTGAAGTGAGACCAGAGACTCATAGCACAGGAGGGGCATCATTTGAGTCAGGAAGGAAGAATTAACATGATTCACTCAGCAAACAGGAAATAAAAATACAGGCCCAGGAGAAAGTTTATATAAAGTTTATCTAAAGCAGGGGTTCTCAATCTAAGGCCTCGGGCTACATGCGGCCCACCGAGGACATTTATCCGGGCCGCCGAGTGTTTTTTCACTTCAAAATAAGATAAGTGCAGTGTGCATAGGAATTTATTCATAGTTGGTTTTTTTTTTAACCTAAAGTCCTGTCCTCCAACGGTCTGAGGGACAGTGAACTGGCCCCGTTTAAAAAGTTTGAGGACCCCTGATCTAAAAAAAAAAGGGGCCCTGGTGCCACAAGGGTGAAGGTGCTCAGCTGATAACCAATGGCCGGGGGTTCCACATACCAGTGGCTCCACCACAGGACAAAGACCCGACGTGCCCCTACTGCCCTGAAGACTACCCCTACACAACCCTCAGGGGCAGTTCTACTGGGCCACCTGCGCCCACTGAAGGCCCAAACCAACTCAACGGCGCCACCACCACCACCACCAACAAAAGAGGAAAAGACGCAGGCTCGCTGTGCCTCTTGACAAGCAGTGAGGACAAACCAACAACTGTTTTTCCCCTGCATTTCAAGGCAAGAACTGTTAATATTATTTCATGATATTGCTACACGATTATGTCAGACGCGATGTTGAGATCATTTACATTTAATCTATCATCGAATGCTCATAGCAATCGAGGAAGCAGCACCTGGTCTCACAGGGAAAAGACAGATGATTTCCTGATTTTATAGAGGAGGCAATGAAACCTCAGTGAAGGGAAACAATGTAAATTCTGCTTACATCCAAAAGGGATCACCAGTACTGACGATGTATGCCACCTCAGTCAGTTCTGAGGAGGGCTACACCCACAAAACTCAAGAACTGATAAGGATGCACAACCTTCCACCAAACAAGTCACTCATTAAAGCTCACACACAGAAATACTGCTCCCCGGCCCACCCCACGGCCACTTGGTCTCTGAGCTCTATTTAGAGACATGGGTGACTCGCTCAAGCTGAATTAAGGGCATGTCCAATTCCTGATCATACACTGATAACTGAGACTGTAAGACCTTTCAATACAGGTTTATAAACACCTGGAGAACTTACTTGCCACCAAATGCCATGATTTTTTGTGAAAATTCTCTGATTCAATTGTTCCAAGGAGAACTCCATGAAGATTCTTCATGAAGAAGCACACAATGATATGACTTTTTTGGTAAGTGTTTGAAATAAGAACAATTACTGTTCATGAAATTTCACTGAAAATTAATTACATGGATCATCAGAAAGAGCAGGGTATGAGATACCATGTATTTCCAAACACTGGAAACTTTCTAAATAACTGTACTCTAAAAGTTGAAATACTTAACATAAATAAAATAGTGCTGTAAATTTTGAGTTTGTTCTCTGAACGTTTATGATAAATAAAAGCACATTTATTTTAAGTAACATATTTCTAAGATCTGTGTTCAGCAGCACTGTTTTAAAAGAACGACACTGGCAGAGCAAGCCTTCCATTCCCCTATTGATGTTCCCCGAGCTGAACAACAGCTGCTATCTAATTTTCCAAAGGCAAGCGATGTCATTATTCCAATCCCAGGTTACCTGTCTAAGCTCTAAGGAAAGCCCTTCCAGTATTACTCTGCACACTTCTTTCACGGTGGTTGGTTTACACGAGCTCCCAAAGCATGTTCTAACTGTGAAAGTGAGACGCGCTTACCCGTTTTCTCCTTCTGTTCTCTGTGCCTGAAGAAGTGGATAATGTCTTTCGGATTAGCCACCCGGTCCACAAATTTCTGGCTAAAGCGGAGCACGTTGAAGGGTTCAAAGCCTCCACTGTAGTCCACCTGGAAAGGCAGAACATGCTCTCAAGTCCAAGTAGTAAGAGTTCACCAATACTGACAGTGCTTTTGTCAATACTTTAAAAATTCACGTGCAGAGTGTCAAGGGCACACGATAAAGGACATGATGGGTTTTATATACTACTACTTCCAGTGAGAAATAAAGTTTGAAAGGCTGATAAGCTTATAGTAAAATATGTTGGTCTGTGGACTCCGGACCCAGCCACAATTTCTACACGGTAGGGATGATGACAGCTCCCCACAGTGGCACTAAAAGACTCGGCACCAGGGATGCTGTCTGAAAAGGAAGCGAAGGCATTCTATATGAATTTCTAAACTTTCAAGGCAAAAAGAAAATCCTATTGCCAAAATAAAATGCTAGCCCCCACCCATTAGTTAACTTGTCAGTCACCAGAGATAGCTTCTCACAGTGGGACCAATGCTGGGAAAATCCATTCCAGAGAAAGGACCACATAATGAGAGCCTTGTGAAACCATTACCTTCAGAGCACAGCATCCATTTAGAACTAACCACTGCTCTCAAGCAGGCTTTTCATGACGTCCATAGCAGTAAATAGACCATGACAGACAGAAGGACCACATCTATTTCTAAGAGACAGCCATTTCCTCAGACTAGCTCTGCCCAAAGCCAGCGCCTCAAAGGGCTTCTCATCACACCAAGCACCATCAGAAATGCCGCTCATTTACTTGAAATGTGGTCGTTATGTCTCTCCTCACACCTCTCTCTCCTGTAATCCCTACAAGTTCAAAAGCCCCTAAAATCCAGACAGAAAAGTACTCAATTAAATATTTGTTCAATTAATCAGTAAGCTCAGGAGGGTGACATTGACATCCACTAAGTACACATTTATTGAATACCTACAATGGTGGACAAGGCACTGTACTGAGGGCTAGAGCTACAACCATAAATACAACACAATCTCAGTTGTCCAGAAACTCACAAGCTGGCAGGGGAGGCAAGCACGCCAGCAGAATGTGGACGATGCTAGGAGCTCTGAACAGTGGGTAAGGAACGGTTCCATGGTGAGCATAGGCCTTAACTGAGCATTGAGGAAACACACAGCAAGAAGGGGCAGGCGTATTCCTCACAGCAGGGGCACACTGGGCTCCAGGGACAGTACTTGCTAATCCAATACGACTGGAGCTTAGGATCTGGAGATGGTTTGCTAGAAGTGGGAGTAGGGGAACCTGGAAGTAGAATCCAGACAGGAAGTTTCTCGATAGGCCAGGTTAAAGAGATAACAAGAATTTCACTACAGCACTGGCATTGGGGTAGAAGGGGACCAAGATTACTTATTCAGCACCAGGTGCTATTTAACTCATTTCCATCATACAGAGTTATGTACAAACTAATGAACATTCACGTGCTCCTGTCATCCAGCGGATAGCAGAGCCCTATCGAGCCCAGGTAGTCTGCCTTCAGTCTATATTCTTTGCACACTGTACGGTCTCCAAGACCCACTGCCATCAAGCCAAGTCCGACTCATAGTGGCACTCCAAAGACAAACTCACGCCCGAGTCAATGCTGACTCACAGAAGCCCTATCAGGCAGGGTACCACAGTCCCTGTGAGTTTCCAAGACTGTATCTCTTTCCACAAGTAGAAAGCCTGGTCTTCCTCCCATGGGGATGCTGGTAGTTTCGAACTGCTGACAAGGCTTCCTTATAGTGTCCCTAGTGCTTCTAAAATTCTGGCTGAACTGTTAATTCTCACTTAACACAAATCCCACAGGGATCTTGTTAAAACACAATTCAGGCTCCTTTTTTTTTTTTAACAATTTCTCTGGTGAAGCCAAGGCTGCTGCTTTGAGGACCATACTGAGGCTCCCCAAGGCTGTAGTAGGGCAGTGTTTCTTTCCTAAAGTGGGTGACACTGCTTCCTGGGGGCGGGGCGCTGCAAAAGCAGATGCTACGCGCTATCCTGGATTATGGGCTACAGTCAACAAGTTTTTGTCAGGAAGGCGCTGAGTGATTTTTGTTTTCCTGAAAAGGGGGTGGTGGTGGAGAGCAAATGTTTTGAGAATGATGAGGGTAATGAATGTACAAATGTGCCTTATACAATTGATGTATGGATGGATTGTGATAAAAGTTGTATGAGCCCCCAATAAAATAATTTTTAAAAAAAGATAATGGAAAAAAAAAGTGGGTGGTGGACCAAAGAAGTTTGGGAATTTATGCTCTAGAGGAACTCTGGATATATGGCTGAACAAGTGGGGATTGTGGTGGAAGCAGTTTTGGAAGTCTCTGGAAAGTTAGAAGCCATATGGCGAGACTGAAAGGGGACAAACTAAGGGAGGAAAAGGGACAAAGATAACACAGGAAGAGAATGCCAAAGAGCACTCAGTTAGGTAGGAAAAGCAAAACAAGGATCTCCCTGACGGGGCAACCTTTACGGAGAGAATGGTTGGGGAAGAGGAGAAGCCATGTTCTTTGAGTGAGGGACAAGACTGAGAAAGATGTGGGAGCTCAGAGAGGTCAAAAAGAGAGACGATTGGTCTGGGGCTTTTTTTTTAATTGCCCTGGCAAAGATAAGCAGGTTTGTAGGTAGAGAAACAATTCAACTTCTTAGCCTTTTTAAATACTCTTAGATGCTAATTCTGTCATTAAGTTTATTGCGCACGTGTTCTGTCAGTAACTGATCCACAAGTGGCAGTGCTGTGCTAATGTTAAACCACCAGCCGCTCTGTTGGAGAAAGGGGAGGCTTCATGCTCCCAGAACGATTACAGGTCTTGGAAACCCAAAGAAGCAGTTCCACCTTGCCCTGGCAGGTCCCTGTGAGTTGAAACTGGGTCTATGGTAGTGGGTTTGCTCTTGGTTGTAGGATGTTTGGACATATAAGTGAACACAATTCACAAGGTGTCATACTTCCAAGGACCTTCTGATTTTGTAGCTGAAGATAAATAATGGCCAAGGTAAATACACTGCATATAGTAGGTTAGAAGAATGAGTGTTATGTGGGGCAGGGAGGCACAAAAAGTAGTTGGGGGGGGGGGGCTGTTAAGTAAGATGCAGTGCTGCATAGATTAGATGCAAAGTTCAATCTTAATTACAGTGGAGCCTCCCGAGCAGATCCGGAGAGGAGTGATCTGATAGGGTCTGAGTGTGGAACTACAGCATAGGTGCCCAAACTTATTTGGCCACGGCCCTCTTTTAAAACAACAACAAAAACCAGAACAATCCCGCCCACATTTAACATTTTTGACTATAACTTATTAACTCAGGAAAAATGAAGCCCCCTGGACCATTCCAGTGCTGCTCCCCCAGCCCCGCCCTCACTCCTCCAGGGAGCAGCCCACTTTGGGAAACAGTGCATGGCAGTAACAGCGGGAGAGGAACAAGAACTTCAAAGATGAGGTCAGGGATCTTGACACGTATTAAACGTAACAGACTACTTGAGGGGGGGGAA